GGAAAGAACATAGGACAGATAACTATAACTAGTTGGTATTGGTATTTTGCCTTGAGGCAAGTTACATGAACTTACCAATATGTGTAAATAGTCGACTTAATCAATAAAATAGAAATTAATTTATGAGTGATTAAAAGTATTCTGAGTGGATTTATTACACATAATTGAACACGAATGATCACGTTAACTCGGAGCATTTTCAAATTTTCCAAAATCAACAATTTTTATAATTGAACCAGTTTTCGAAGGACTTTAACGGTTTAGTATGTTTATTAAAACCAAGTATGTACTCTATACCAAGTAGTTTTAACAAACGTAAAAAACTACTCATTTTCTCAAACTTTGATGAATTTTTAAAATTAAACTACTTGTCGTAAGATCGTAATACTTCAGTAAGTTCTATAAGACCATGATATATATCGCCAAAAAAAGTTCCATAAAAATCGGCTTAATTTTTTTTTTCAACATTTAATTACAAGTTAACGGCTCCGTACATTTTCACCTAAAACTAATCAGTATCATACCCAACTAATATCTTTCGAACAGTTTTTGATCTTTTAAAATCGATTCGGACGAAAAGTTTAACACTTTTTTCTAAATTACAAAGAAACAGCTTGGCAGATCATCGCACAAAACTGACAAACGATAGTCCTCATTGAGATACATCAAATGGCTTTTAAATTTCTAAAATCGGTTCAGGCGTTTTTGAGAAAACGTCGATGGAAGGTCTAATTTTGACAAATGCCAAAAAAAAGATACTAATTTTTGCAAACTTTGAAGATTTTTAAAAATTAAACGACTTGTCGTAGGGCCGTAACATGGCCGTAATATTTTAGTATGATCTAGAAGACTATTGTATCTACCGTCAAAAAAAATCATTAAAATCGCCGAAAAGAATTTTTTTAACACTTTATTACAAGAAAACGCCCCGGCCGATCTTTATCAAAAACTAGTCAGCACGATTCCCCACCAATACCCATCGAACGGGTTTTGAATTTGATTTTTGAAAATCGGTCCAGCCGTTTTTGAGAAAACGTCGATTTACGGCAAAAAAAATCTGTTCACACACACATACACATACACATACACATACTTTTTCCAAATTTAGTCTCATTTGATTCAGAATGGCTTGAACCGTCGAGGAAACATAAAATTAGCAAATCGGATTTTTTGATGAAAACAAGCTTCTCCTTCGGGAAGTTAATAAACAAATATTTAAATGTGTTTTATTAACATTCAGTGTATAAACTTAAGGTTTTATAAAATTTATTAATTATGTACATTTATAATACAGTAAACATTAAACATTTATAATATTTGTAAACTTATGATGTGATGATGACGATCTGTAAATAACGATGGTTAATATACTTATTAATACATAATATTTTATCAAACTATACAAAATACATGAATAGTGACAATAACTTATCCTGGCAGATTCTTCTAACATATCTTTCAAATTTATTTCTAATATTAAATTTTTAGACTAATATTGAAAATATTTTTTTACATATGATCTTTTATACGAATTTTATTTTTTAGATTATGTTATAAGATTATTAGAATAATATAAATAATATTATTTACTATAAGATTATTATAATTTCAATATATTTGATCACCTTCTTTTTAACAATTTATTTTAAACATAAATTATTTATATATATCCTCGACTGAAAAAAACACCGTTTTTACGTTGATATATTATTTCTGAAATGCTTAATTAAAAAAAAAAAAAAGATTACGATTGATTCTGTAGTTAACGTAATTTTATTAGGTTGTCAAATATCTCTCTTCCGCTTTTTTGCTCTTGGTTTATAATACAAAAAGGCGGAAGGGAGATATTTGACAACCTATTATTATTGATACTATTTAAGGACTTGTTTTACCAGAACGAAGATTAAAAACAGTTTTATACATTAGTATTGATTTAATTATAATTAATTAATATATGCGTCAACATACTTATGACATAATAAATTTTAATAAATTATTACACATATACTGCAATTTTTAAAGAAATATTTTTTTATTAAATTATATAAATGTACAAATTTATAAATACATTATATTTAGTATAAGAACAATTTAACTCGCCCTCTATTAATAGTGGTGTACAAGATTAAATTATAACAAAAATTTAAATTTATACATTCCTAACAACTTAAATGAGAAGTTATCACGTGTGCCATTATGCATTTAATTTGTTGAAGCAGGACTAATGGCACAAATCTTTGGCAAGTTATAAATTAACCTGATATTTAAATACTCGATTTAATAATCAGTCTTTATTTATCATAAACACGACACTATTTGTTTAATAATGCCTCTAAATTTCCATTATTCAACTGGTTTGTTTTAAGAGTCCTGTGTCGTTTCCTTGAATTACGTTTGTGTAAAGCGTACAAGACACATCCTAAAGTAAGAAGTACGGCAGCAATTGTTGAAGCTACTATGATCCAGATCATTTTGGCATTGTATTCCAGTTTTCGATGCAAAATCATCTCTTGACAAGTATCATATAGAACGTTTGTTTCGTTTAATTTTATATCTTCAGCACAGTATGTGTAACCTGGTAAAGATTTTATTGCAGATTTATCAGCCGTTAGGGGCCGTTCAAATATTACGTAAGCAGATTTTTACAATTATTTACCCCCCCACCCCCCTTGTCACTAAAAGTAAGCAAAGCTCTTACCCCCTCCCCCCATGCTTACGTAAACATTTTGCAATTAATGTATACAAATTTTCGTCGATGATTTCGGAAACACGGATAAATCGATTTGAATAATTCAAAGAACATTCGATTCGTATTGATAAGGAGACGTGCTGATTAGATTTTGGCGAAGGCAGGTCTAGCCGTTCCGAAGATATGGGGCAAAAAGTGCCAAAAATGGTAACTCAGTTTTTAAGAGAACGGAAGGTCCGATTTTAATAATTCAAAAAACATTTTACTTATATTGACAAGATGAAAAACTGATTATATTTTTGAGAAGGCAGGTCTAGCAGATATGGATTCTTAATAAACATAAGTTAAAAAAGTGTCATTTGGCGATCAAAAATGTTTATTTGACATATTTACATCAAATTATCAAATATTTTATAGAGATTTTAATATTGTGTACACATTTTGTGAAATTTTTTTTGGGTTTCGTACCAAGATTTTTAACTTTGAAGTTTTTTTATATGGTTTAGACAAATGTTCTCGATATTTTCGACAGTATGGAATAACCGATTTATAAAATTTAAAAGTAATTCGGTTCGTACTCGATCGCGAGGCGTTTTTGCAAAAGGCAATTTTGCTGTTTCGGAGTGTAAAAACGGTTACGCAGTTTTTTGAGAGAACGGATCATCCGATTAGATTAATTCAAAAAACATTTTGCTTGAGTAGACAGTGTGCAAAAAATGCATTTACAGAAAATTTAATAATTTTGAAAAATTTCAAAAAAAAAATCGAAATTTTCAAAAAAGTTCAATTTTCGAAATTATATCATTTTCAAAAAAAAATACTAAATTTTGAAAAAATAAAAAAAAGAGATTTTTTACAAAAATTTGAGATAATTTTGATAATTTCAAGAAAAATTGAATATTTTCAAAAATTTCCAAATTTCTAAAATATTTAGAACAAACGTTTTTTTTAAATTCCAAATAATGGACTCTTGTAAACGTGCACATAAGTTATTCATAAAATACGCTCGTCGCCCAATTTAAAAAGCACTTAAAAGTTTACAGTATGTAATAATAATCTATTTGAAATTATTCAAAACAATTATTAATTATTTTCATTCCTCAAATTTTTAATTACGGTACATGAAGTTCCACAATTTTGTCTACTAAGGCATGATGCCATGCGCTCCACTAGTATAAATATGTTAACGAGTGCATATAAATTTTTCTAAAAAAAATTACTTTGAGTATTAATTAATTAATATTGATTAAATAACTTAATAATCTATTAACTTTTCGTGGGGTAACTTACAGACTACAGTAATCGCAAAAAAATCGAAAGAGAAATTTTTTATATATCTTTACGTTTCATAGGTTTCTGAATTTTGGCATACCTTAGAAAAAATCGATGTTTTTAGATACAAACTTTCGTCGATAATTGTAGGAACACGCATCAACCGTTTTGAACAAAACACTCGATTCGTATATATATTCACATTTATTTTTATTTATCATATCGGTTGACAACGTCAACTTAAGATTTTGTAAGAACAAACTTCATATTACCAACTTTCAATAACACAGTTATTTCAACTATCAGTTTTTTATCGTTGACAACGTTGAATTGTTAAAAATAACTTTGCCTTCAGTTTCATGGCAAATATTTTACTTGTTGTCCGTTTCAGGACAGTTGTAAAAATTATTAAAAAAAAAAAAAAAAAACTATGACGTAATCATCATATAGACCCCCCTGCCCCCACGTCACCCAAAATAAGCAAATCAATAACCCCCCCGGCCCCCTAAAGTGCTTACGTAATACTTGAACGGCCCCTTACTATAAAAAATATAGGTTAATATAATATAAAATATAATCTTACCTCTTGGTGGTGCTGTACATAGATCATCTTTACTATGTAGTACATTTGGTACATGATTATTAAACCATTTTTCTAATAATAAGCAGCTGCAGTAATCGACGTTTATTTCAGTCATGTCCAAAGATTTTAAGGAACAACTGGGAGCTATATCGACAGGTAATAAGGACAATAGAGGATTTCCTGATATATTAAACTCTGTCAGATCAGGAAGAATTCCTAAATCCGGTAACAACTGCAAGCGGCAATACGCCAAATTAATGCGCTGAAGTGGAGCTCTGATCGGTTTTTGAAGATCCTTCAAATCTTGCTGAAAAAGGAAATTGATATACAAATATTTATTTAAATTATTGAGAACTATTTTTAAAGTTCCGTATGGTAAGTCATAGTAATCGCAAAAAAATCTAAAGTGAAAATTTTTATATATCTTTGCGTTTCAAAGGTCTCTGAATATTTTGGCATACCTTAGAAAAAATGGATGTATGTGTGCAAATACAAATTTTCGTCGACGATTTCGGGAACAGGGATCAACCGATTTAAATAATTCAAAAGACATTCGTTTCGTATTGATAAGGAGACGTGCTGATTAGTTTTTGGCGAAGGCAGGTTTAGCCGTTCCAAAGATACGGGGCAAAAAGTGCCAAAAACGGTAACTCAGTTTTTAAGAGCGTCCGATTTTAATAATTCAAAAAAACATTTTACTTGTATTGACAAATTGAAGAACAGATTAAATTTTCGGGAAGGCAGGTCCAGCGGTTATGGACTCTCAATTCTCAATAAAAATAAGTTCAAAAAATGTCACTTGGCGGTCAAAAATGTTTATTGAACATATGTACATCAAATTATCAGATATTTTATAGAGATATATAGATTACGGTACGGGAAGTTCCAGCAATTTGCCTTAAGGCACGATGCCATGCACCTCACTAGTTTTTATTCAGTTTACAAAAACTTTATTTCTTGATTTCACAGTTTTTTTATAAAGAAATATTTAAAATATAAACATGCTCCTATACAAATATATAGTATGATTTCTTACACTGAAGTTTTGTTTTTTTTTGCTGCAAAAAAAAAACTATTCTCACAATCAGTGTTTTACGAGTGTGATGTATTTTCTACTACCACGCTTTATTATAACGCATACCAATAGTTGTTTACATTTGTTATAAAATTTTATATATGCACTTATAAATTATATATATTTCTAATTGTGATGTGATATATTATATATTGCAGAGATGCCCCGAAAAGCGATTTTTATTTGGAAACATATTTATGATCTTTGTGTTCAAGTCAAAACGAAAATCACTACTGCTTGAAAATATATGTGACGCGGAATTTGAAAACGAATCCTTGAGGCTCTTACCACTGCACTACGAATGCCCCAAGTTATGATTATTATCAACACGCTTTCTATGCTTACTTAACAAAATAATTACAAGTAAGTTAAAAAATAATATATAAATACTTACTCTTAATGTTCGCAAGTTGTTATGCTGCAGATAAAGATTCTTCAGCGATGGCAATTGAAATATTTGCATAGGAACTGTGAATATGGAATTTATCGACAAATCCAGTGCCTCTAAATTCGGCATCGTGTCGAAGGCACCTGCTTCGATTGTTTGAATCATATTATCACCTAAATATAAGTACTTCATCCTAGAGTATGGAGCGAAAGTGTCGCTCCGTAGTTCTCGTATCCTATTGTACGAGGCATCCATCACCTGAAATTGACCATCAATTAGTTGGTATTTTAAAAATTGATATTAGACTGTGACAATATAATGATTGACATAATTAATCAAGAAAATAATTGAGCAATTGATCGTCTCGTCAACATGCCGCTTATCAAAATTAGTCTCAAATTGGCTTGAAAATTAAGAAATAATTGGCCTTAATTAAAGGCATGGTCGAGTCAATTAAAAACTATAATATTTTGCGTGAGTCATTTGGCATAATAAATTATCTACACTATTTGCAAATAGTAATTGATAAAATACCAAGGTATACTTTGCGTTGTAATAAAATACAAAAATAATGCATTTTCAATATTGTAATTTTATAGATATATCTTTACGTTTCAAGATCTTTCAACAACTAGTGGGGCGCATCCATCGTGCCTTAAGGCAAATTGCTGGAATTTCCATACCGTAAGGAACAAAAATAATCAATAATTTTTTTTGAAGATTTTCAAATAGATTATCTTCTATATATATAAAAGTAAGTCGGGTTTTCCTTCCTGACGAAATAACTCCAGAACGCACGAACCGATTTCGACAATTTTGCATTCGTTGGAAAGGTCTCGGGCTCCACAAGGTTTATAGCTAAGAAAATTAGTGGTGCATGGCATCGTGCCCTAATGCAAATTGCTGGAATTTCACGCACAGTAATTAAAATTTCGAGTAATGACATTAGTGAGAATTATCAGAATTATGCTTGGTTGAGTCAACTAGCAATTCTTGCCGCAAAGAATAATGATGTACACGCACTGAATTTCACCCATTCAATCAAAAATTGCTGGCGATTTGGTGACATACCAATAATTCTGACTGGTTTTCCGTTTGACTTCAAACAATTGAAATTTCCAGTTCGCCTTGCGTTTGCAATAACAAGTCGCAAGGCCAATCGCTTAGTGTTTGCGGGATAAATTTTAAATAGATTATTTAGAAAATCATTGTTTTTCACATGGGCAGTTATACGTTCCCTGTTCACGAGTTGGAAAATCATCCGCTTTGTTTGTGTTAACGTCAGACCAAAAAACGAAAAATGTGGTTTACCAAAGAGCACTTCAATGAAACGGATAATTGGCGGATTTACTTTCATTTACTTAGAGAAGTTCAACTAAAAAACACTTCATTTTTGTAATCGAAATAAATTCGTTACTGTTGTGCAATAAAATCAAATTTTTCCTTTTCAAATATAAAACAAACAAAAAATTTCTTCATCTTTCTCACGAAACCATCTGGTGGCGAAACGGAGTTCGTCGGGTTTGCTTGTTTATTATATTATAAATACATACTGTGAATTTAAGTGCTTTTTAAATTGGGCGATGAGCGTATTTTATTAACAACTTATGTGTACGTTTACAAGAGCCCTTTTTTTTATTTGATATTTTTGATAATTTAGAATTTTTCTCAAAATTTTGAAATTTTTTTGAAGTTTAAATTTTTTTGAAATTTAAAAAAAACGTTTTTTTTAAAATATTCTGAGAATTTGAAAATTTTTGAAAATATTTGATTTTTATTTCAATTTTCAAAATATTCTCAATTTTTGAAAATGATGAAAAATTTCGAAATTTAGAATTTTTTGAAACTTTTATTTTTTTTTTGAAAATTTTTAAAATTTTCAAATTTTCTGTAAATGCATTTTTTGCACACCATCTGCTCAAGCAAAATGATTTTTGAATTAATCTAATCGGATAATCCGTTCTCTCAAAAACTGTTTAACCGTTTTTACACCCTTTACGCTCCATACCTCCGAAACGGCAAAATTGCCTTTTGCAAACAGGCCTCGCCATCGAGTACGAACCGGATGATTTTTTAATCATTCAAATCGGTTATTCCATACTGTCGAAAATGTCAAGGACATTTGTTTGAACCATATAAATAAACTTCAAAATTAAAAATCTTGCTACGGAATCCAAAAAAATTTACGCAAAATGTGTACACAATATTAAAATTTTTATAAAATGTGTGATAATTTGATGTACAATGTACAATAAACATTTTTAACCGCCAAATGACATTTTTTTAACTTGAGAGTTCATAACCGCTGGACTTGCCTTTCCAAAAAATTTACCAGTTGTTCACTTCGTCAATACAAGTAAAATGTTTTTTGAAAATTTTGAAACACACACACACATACACAGAAATCCATTTTTTCTAAGGTATGCTAAAATATTCAGAAACCTTTGAAACGTGAAGGTATATAAAAATTTGCACTTTCGATTTTTTGCGATTACTATAACTTGCCCTACGAGAAGTTAATAAGTATTTTGACATACCATAGAAAGAATAGATGTATGTGTTTGTGTATGCGGTATGTATGTGTGTATGTTCGGGTACAATTCGAACAATCGTCCACGATTTTGAGAGCACGGATCAACCGATTTGAATGATTCAAAAAACATTCGATTGTTTTTGATGGGAAGACGTGCCGATTAGTTTTTGGCCAAGACGGGCCCAGCCGTTCTGAAGTAAAAAGTGCCAAAATGGCAATTTTAAAAAAACGGAGCATCTGAATGTTCAAAAAAAAACGCCTATATTGACATAATGAAGAATGTTTGGAAACACAGGTCCAACGGTTTGGAGATCTATTAAAAAAAGATAAAAACTAAATGCCATTTGCATATGCACATTAACTTATCGGCTTTTTTATAGAGATTTTAATAAGTACAAATTTTGTTTGCATCTATAGGTTTCATACCAATATTTATAATGTTTAACCGTTAGACTACTTTAACAAGACCGTTAGACTACTACCAAAACTTTAATCAGTTCTTCGTCATGTCAATTCAAGTAAAATGTTTTTTGAATTATTAAAATCGGACGCTCCGTTCTCTTACAAAATGAGTTACCGTTTTTGGCACTTTTTGCCCCGTATCTTTGGAACGGCTAGACCCGCCTTCGCCAAAAACTAATCAGCACGTCTCATTATCAATATGAATCGAATATTTTTTGAATTATTCAAACCGGTTGATCGGTGTTCCCGAAATCATCGACGAAAATTTGTATCCGCACACACACACACACACATACATTCATTTTTTCTAAGGTATGCCAAAATATTCAGAAACCTTTGAAACGTAAAGATAAATAAAATTTTTCATTTTCGATTTTTTTGCTATTACTATAACTTACCCAACGAGAAGTTAAAAATTCAAAGTTTTCAAAAAATTTCAAAATACAAAATAAAATCAAATTTTTCAAAAAGTCGATTTTTTACAAAAATTCTCAAAAATCAAATTATTTTGAAATTTTCAAAAAATTGTGAAGGTTTAAAAAAATTCAAATTAAGGTACGGGAAGTTGCAGCAATTTGCCTTAAGGCATGGCACGATACCATGCATCACTAGTCCGATAATCTCTCAAGTTTGGGAAACCGCAAATGATGCGATGCATCCGTTGTCCCCGATATGAGATGAAGGAACATGAAGCGGCGGCGGTCAGTTCGTAACAATCGGCCAGTTGAGTCTCGACCCGCTCAATTGGCTTAAATCAACATGACCTATACATATAGACATAGAACCACTCTAGTTCTTGGCCGTCGAGTTCTCCATATGCACGTGAATGCACCTACATGCTCTAAAAAAAAATTAACGAACTGGAATGATTCACGGGGCTGTGTCTATTAGTACATTTGTGGACATCGAGATGATCTCCAAATTGATTTTGAAAACTGGTCGTGTATGACATTGTGTCTTAAGGCAAGTTGCTGAAACTTCCCTTTTATAAATAAATATTTTTGCACTAGTAATATAAATTTGGATTATATTGTTTTATAAATATTTATGTATATAATTGTATTATCATTTTCGGGATCTTGAATAGAATATATATTTAAATTTTTTTCATAAATGTTGATTGTTCTTTACCAATATATTTATAGTTCCACTTGGATTTGAAATTCCAATATATTTATTAGTTTCATTAAATAATTAACAATCAACAATTATGAAAAATGTTAAAAATATTTAATTCTTATGAAGATCCTTAAAATACAAAATCATTATACGAGAACACGAATCAACCGATTAGTAAGATTCAAAAAGCATTCGATTCCTATTGATAAGGAGACGTGCTGATTAGTTTTTGGCCAAGGCAGATGCAGCTTTTACAAGATACGAGATAAAAGGTACCAGAAAAGGTAATTCAGTTTTTTTTTAAATAATATAGCGTCTGATTTCAATAATGCAAAAAACATTTACTTTATACTGACAAAATGAAAAAACTGATTAAATTTTTGGGAAGACAGGTCAGGCCGTTTCGGAGATCCAATCTAATAAGTTAAACTAGAGGTGTATGGCATCGTGCCTTGAAGCTAATTGCTGAAACTGCCCGTACCGTAATGAAATGTTCGAAGAATATTAAATATTTTCACATAGATTATACAGTATACAGTAACATTGTCTAATATTTATAAGAATTTTATAAACTGAATCACAAAGTCAAAAATATTTATTTAAAGTATATAAGTGAGCTTTAAAATTTTAGCCAGAATTAATATTGAAATCTGTTTTATTTCCGATATACAAAAAAAATCAAATGATTTTTTCCCCAAAAGCAATTGTTTTGTCAACACAAGCAGAATGTTTTTTGAATCACTCAATTCGGATGCTTATTTCTCTCAAAAACATTTTTTCAAAATTTCTCTCAAAGTCATTTTTTGTACATTTAGCTCTGTATCTTCGAAATGGCTCGGCCTGCCATTGTTAAAAACGAATAACCACTTCTCCCAATCATTACTGACTGAATGTTGTTTAGATCATTCAAATCAGATGCTCTGTTCTCTCGAAAAATCGATTTCTATTTTCTGCACTCTTTGCTCTTTATCTTCGTAACGGCTGAACCTGCCTTAGCCAAAAACTAATCAGCACATTTTCCTATCAATAGGAATCGAATGTTTTTTGAACCATTCAAAAATCGATTGATCCGTGCGCCCGAAAACGTGAACGAAAAAATGCGGACACACAAAACACATACACACACACATACATCCATTTTTTCTGAGGTATGCCAAAATGGTTAAAAACCTTCAAAACATGAAGAAATGCAAAAATTTTCATTTTAGATTTTCGGCTCATTACTATAACTTGCCCTACGGGAAGTTAATAATAGTTGTCTATTGCAAATCGTTCAAATAGGACCCAAAAGCTATTCATAATCTAACACCGAACATATATATTCTTTCTATACAATTTTAATTTAGCTTTCCCTTCTTCAAAAAAAATCCAGGCCCCTAAACGGAATTTGCCCTGGTTCACTAAGGGCTTATGTATATCATTCAATAGATTAAAATTTCTAGAGCGTCTATCCAAACGGAATGGTACTTTATCGTTCCAAATTTACTTTTTGAAATATAGGCAAACGTTTAATGATTTAATTGATCTAGCAAAAATTAAATTCAACGAATATTTAATACGGCATTGTCTTGCAAGCAAAAAACTATGTGGTCTCTCATTAATTCTGAAATGAATCTAGAACGTAAATCTGCGGTAGAAATTAAATCTTTGACAATTAATGATGTAATAATTAATGACATTAATGATATTTCCAACGAAATGAATAACTTCTTTGTTAATGAGGCTTCAAATTTGACATCCTCCATCATCTCGAACATCACTTGCTGCTCCCCTGTTTCGTATATTGTTAGAAATATTCATAGCTTTGTTTTATTTCCTGTCACAATTGAGGAACTTGCAAGTACTTTAAAGCTATTAAATCTTCCTATTCCGCGGGACCGGATGAAATTCCTACATGCATCATTAAAGAATTCTATCCTCTTTTTATTGATAACCTATTAATATGTATTAATAAATGCTTTGAGCTGGGAGTTTATCCAAACCACCTTAAGCACTCCAAAATCCGCCCTCTTCATAAAAAAGGCGACAAAAACATTGTGAGCAATTATAGACCTATTTCTCTCTTAATTCTTTTGATAAGGTGTTTGAAAAAATTTGCACGTCAGAATCTCTGGGTTCTTAAATAAATACAATATTTTGTTTCACAACCAACATGGTTTTCGGAAAAAACACTCTACATCGCACTCGGTTTTTAGCCTCATCCAAAATGTTATTACTCATTTGAAGATGGAAGTTATTGTGTAGCCGTCTTTTGCGATCTCTCCAAAGCGTTCGACAGTATATCTCACAATATTCTCATTGATAAGTTAGAAATGTATGGTTTTCGTTCTAGCTCGCTTAAATTACTAAAATCTTATTTAACAAACAGAACTCAAAGCGTATATTTGGACAATAGCACCGGTGGTAAAGTTATATCCAGGAAATTAAACGTGAAAATGGGTGTCCCACAAGGATCAATTCTTGGACCGCTCCTATTTCTTCTTTACATTAACGACCTACCTAATTGCTCAAATCTTTGTGACTTTATTTTGTTCGCTGATGACACTTGTCTAACCATCAAAGCTAGAACATACGATGACCTCGTAACGAAATTGAACAATGTCATGGATTCCGTTTCGAAATGGTTCAATATAAATAATCTTCTTTTAAACAACGACAAAACCCAAATTATTTCTTTCTGTACAGCAACGCGCGTAGCGAATGATATTTCCTCATTTACAATTAATAACTATTCATTTGACTCCTCTTCAGTATCTAAATTTCTTGGAGTTTATATCAATAAGAATCTTAACTGGTCTGAACACGTTTCCAACCATTTATGCTTCAAATTAACGCGTACATGCTTTATCCTGCGAACCCTTAAATCAAAAATTGGAATATCCAGTTTACTTTCTATTTATTACGCAAACTTTTATTCACACATTGCTTACGGTATCCAATTTTGGGTTTCTCTAATGAACTAATTAAAGTTTTTAAACTTCAAAAGAGAGCAATTCGAATAATTTTTCACTATCCTCCAAGACATCATGCCGTAATATCTTCAATGAACATAAAATTTTAACAGTACCGAGTATATTTGTTCTAGTCACACTTAATTTCATAAAAAATAATCCAGACTCTTTTAATTTGTCTTCGATGTCAAATACCAAGCACAATACGAGACATAAAATAATTAAAGGTAAGACTTATAAACTACACAGTTCCTTTAATACTATCTGCGGTATGGGTATACAATTTATGAATAAACTGCCGTTACGTGTTCGTACCCTTGATAACAAGAAATTTCATAAAGTACTAAGTAATGCGTTAAAGGATTTAACTTTTTATAGCCCTCTGGAGTTTTTAAATTTCGATTTTTCAAATTACTTTCCCGAAAATCTCAACTAATCATTAACGCGACTTTTCCCGCTCGAAGAAATTTCTCTATTACAGGCAGCAGCAAGATCGATGGATCGACGATGGCAAAAATCCCTACGAACCTACGGGCCCAAACTAACTGATGTCACCTACCAGCCATGTCTATGTCTACTATGCTCGTGACAATATAATTCGTTCGTTAAACTAAATACTTCTAAATTACTATTATTATTATTATTTCTTTCTTTGTTTATTTTTTTTTTTATTTGTTTTATATAACTGTTATTGTTATATTGTTAAAATACTTAATAATTAGTTAATTAAACACTTACAATTTAAAAAAAAAAAATTTGAGAAACATTTTTTTTTTTTTTTTTTTTTTTTTTTCTAATTATTATTTTCATAAGACTGTTATTTTAAAATACTTAATAATTAGTTAACTAAAAACTTATAATTCAAAACACTTCAAAATTGTGAAACAAAAATTTAATTTTTTTATTTCGACTGTTATTGTTAAAATACTTAATAATTAGTTAACCAAAAACTTATATTTAAAAACACTTAAAAATTGTGAAACAAATATTTCCTTTATCAAAATACCTAAAAATTTGTAAAGAAAAAAAATTGTAAAAATATTTAACAATAATAATAAAAATGATAATGATAATATTAATAATAATAATAATTATAATAATATAAGATACTCAAATTTGTTAAAATATCATAAAATAACCTAAAATTTGTTAATATTGTAAAAGTATGTATTGTAAAGCTTATTAAAATTACTTATTAAATTTTTAAAAAACACTTATAACAAACAAACTAGTTATATTAAAAAAAAAAAATTATAATTAAGTAAATATAAATAGGTTTATAGTAAATAAATTAAGTAATTAAATAGCTAATAATTAATTAAATTATATTAAACCTATAAAATATTGACTTAAGCCTTATTATAATATTAAATATTATACCGACGGCTTGTAAAATTAATAAATAAATAAAATAAATAAATAAATATGTAGGTACTATTTTAAATTTGTCTGTTTACAAAATTTGAAATTTCTCTGTGTTCTATTAATTACCTAATATATTATATTAATCAATTACCTCGGTGTCGGAATCCAGAGTAGCAGGAATCTGCTGAAGTTCTTTTCTAGAACAATCGACTCCTGGTAGTCTGAAAACTCGATGATAGGTGCATCGACCAGGTCTTTTTCCATCCGAGGTTATTAAAGAAAGCAAACCATTGTCCACCAAAGCATTTCCAAATGAAGGAAATAACAGTGCAAGGATCACCACGCCCAGCGCGGGTTTCATCTGAATAAAAAATATATATGTATATTGTTAAGAATTATGTAGAATATTGAATTATTTTATGTGCATGAGTTTTGGGTCATAGAACGATTGCATATTGAGAACGCCTTGGATTGCCTTAAATATGTTCATACTCGGATTCAAATTATGAACAATTCATATCAGTTACAGAATAACTACAAACAAGCATATCTAAATTATTCGGAAGTCTTAAGACGCAATAATATCAAAAACTTTTGTGATTTCAATAAGTATTAAATACAAGCAAAACAATGTTATAAATAATCTTTTATAAATGGTTAAGAATTCGAGTAAACATATATCACATATCCAAACATATAACACATATCCATATATCACAAATTTGCTTTTTAAACCAAGTGGACCATAGGTGATCAAAACTCCCTAAATTTTGGAGATCAAAAAATCTCAAGAAAATTACATGCAGACACTTAAATTTTATCCCAAAATTTTTGCTTCCCTTGTGTATATCAAGATGAAAATTCTACAAGTTTCACTTATTCAAGATTGAAACCATATTACGATTTATATTGCAATTCTGATAACAACGTAATTTTTTGTGATATTTAAAAAACCTGAACACATTTGGCCGATTGAGACCCAATATTACATATTAAAAAAAACACGTTATAAGGTTTTGTAAATATTGTGTCAAAAAATAAAATCTTATCTTTACAACAGAGCATTTGTTAAGCAAATATTGTTCTTCGAATAAAAATGGAAAAATAGAAAAATGCCGGAAGCACAGTAGCTAAAAAAATATATTATAAACATACAAATTAAAAATAATCTCATACGAGATTAAGATATACTAACAGGTAAACTTTTTTGGGATTTTTACGTTTTTGTTCGATGATGATTGATAATGATTGATCCGATTGGGGAACAAACTTATATTTTTAGTATAAATAATTAGTGCTTAAAGAAATCAGACTCATTGAAAATGCTTGAAATTGAAAATATTTGTTTAGTTATTAAGATCAATCATTGTGAACTTGTCAATATTTACAACAAAATTAAAAAATATGTTTTTGAAGTAAAACATCTTTAGGCGCGACTATAGTGTAAATCCGTACAAATGCAACGGAAATGCGTTACGGCAGACTGTGCGTCATTCGCTTTCGATAAAATCATTTCTATATACGGGTCGATTGTGATTGGTCGTCGTGTATATGTATAGAGACCTGTCGTTGTATGCGTACCGATATCAACAAGAAAATCGGCATAGATAAATAAACATTTTAAAGTTACATCGCAGTACAAATCTTGAATTAAATGAAAAATGTTTGAATCAGAAGAATATTATACCCTATTTCTTGAAAATAATAAAATAAATTAAACATTTGAGCCGTGTACTAAACGTAAGTTTATTGATTAGAAATTATTTCTATATTATTCGTAGTTTCTATAAATTTTTGAAGTTATTAAAATGGAAAATATTTTTTAGGCATGACTGATACTACAGCTGTTCAGAGAATGAGATTACATCGCCCGCGAAAAAGTAAAAAAAATGCAAGCTGTCAATGAATGTATGTTAATTTCAATTACATGAAGTTCTTCAAACACAATTATTACATGATGAGTGAAGTTGCGAAAACAAAATTTGTTTAGGCGTTGTTTAACATAAACCACTGTGTGAACGAATATTATAGAAGTTATTAATGAGCAATTACTTCATTTCTCTAATGAAGGTTCGTTTCTAAATGCTAATTACAATGACAAATCGATCATTTAATATTTGAAGTGTGACTTTAATTACATTATTGTTTTTAAATATTATAGATATTTTTAGTGCTATTATAAATATATAATTTATAATTTACCACTATAAATGTGTATAATGGTTGACACAAATGTGTGCATCACGAGTGTTACCATATTACTAATAAACATTATTCAAAATTATTATATGATGTGTTTATTTTTACTTAAATGCCATCTTGTACAGTAGCAAATGAGTTTTACTTCAATCGCGTGTGAATCTTACGCGCACTCTTTTTTTCGAAAATTGATTTGGTTAAACATAAGATATATTATTTGAAGCAATTTTCTAACACTTTAATGCTGACTGGTTAATTTAAATTTTAAAAAGCTGTATACTTCCATAATTAGTTTGACTGTAAATTTTACTAACTCATCAACATTCATCAATTTTTTTTTTGTCAATCAAAACTTTATTCAAGCATCATCAAAATTACAGTAAAGTAAGCAAATCCTGTGATCTTGGCAGCAGGAATAAAAAAATATTTGAGTATACGTTTATATTTGAAATAACTTAAGATAAAATTTTGACTTGAAAATTGAACATCCAGTTTTATTTATGGAAGTTTTCAAATATGATTTTAGATGACAAGTTCGATTTTGTTAACTAAAAACTAATATTGCATTGTAATGGCAAACAATAGCTGTAAGATAAATCTCTAGGAATCTGCAAATTCTTATTACATCTCAAAAACTCATGATTCTTCAGTACAATTTTCGATTTGTTTTTGTGAAAAAAAAAACAACTAATCATTTTTTTACGATACCTAGTTTGACACGCTCTGGATTAATTCAAAGAGTTTTAAATGCGTATAGGAAAGTTTTATATCACAAATTTCTGTGTACTGTGATCAATAATATTCTTCATTGGCCATAGAACGATAATATGCATTGGCACCTTATCTGGTGCGTTACTTATACGATTTGAAGAAAACGACGATCAGTTGAGGTCGTCTGGTCAGAGATAATTCAAGATAAAATAAATAGACAAGTGCACGATATGTTGACAAACATATCCACTATACAATGAGGTCGATATTATTTGAGTAATAATTGATAACACCAACATTTGATATTAATTGTTGGATGATTGCTACGTGACCAAAAAAATGGAACTTTGTGTTAACATCACAAATACTGACGCGAGAATATATCTCATGGAGTACGATGGTATTCTGGTAAAGATTAATTTAGAAAAAACTAGTGGGGTGCATGGCATCGTGCCGTAAAGCAAATTGCTGGAACTTTCCGTACCGCAATCACAATTCTTGGTACGAAACCCAAAAAAATTTACACAAAATGTGTACACATTATGAAAATCTCTATAAAATATCTGATAATTTGATATGCATAAGCGCAATAAACATTTTTGACCGCCAAAAGACATTTTTTAAAACTTATTTTTATTGAGAGTCCATAACCTCTAGACCTGTCTTACAAAAAATTTAATCAGTTTTTTATATTGCCAATACAAGTAAAATGTTTTTTGAATTATTAAAAGCGGACGCTCCGTTCTCTTAAAAACTGAGTTACCGTTTTTGACACTTTTTGCTCCGAATCTTCGGAACGACTAGACCTGCCTTCGCCAAAAACCAATCAGCACGTCTCCTTATCAATATAAATCGAATGTTTTTTGAATCGACGACGGAAATTTGTATCCGCACACACTCACACACAAACACACACATATACATCAATTTTTACTAAGGTATGCCAAAATGTTCAGAAACCTCTGAAACGTAAAAATATATAAAAATTTTTATTTTCGATTTTTTTGCTATTACTATAACATGCCCTACAGAAAGTTAATAAATTATTGTATCATGGCGCGCATTTCTTGTTTATAACTTTAATCTTACCCAATAACACAAATATTTGTTTCCACATTTTACTTGCCAATGCAATTGTTTAACAATTAAAGTCTATTACGATAAGCTCAGGTCCAACATTGTTGCATCAAATTACAATTATTAGTATCAAATAAATTCCATTAATTAAATTATTTTAAATAAAGGTAGGTAAACCATTGGATGGCTACAATATAGATTCTTAGAAGCCTTGCATTATATATTGTTAAGAAGTGCCACCACAACATTTCATAAGGCTTTTAAGTTCTGATTGCTGTCTGCATATAAAAAAATGATCCAACACATACTACTTGTTACACTTTTACACGAATAAAAGTTCTACATTTTTATTTAATAGCAATTCTTATGATCGGTTCAGTATCAAAATATCTAGGAATTTATTTAATAAGAAAACTGAACTAGTAAGGAGGCGTCCATTAATCACGTGAGTATTTTAGGGGGAGGGGAGGTTTGACAAAAAACCACAAAATATCACGTGGGGAGGAAGGTGTATAGTAAGATATCACGTATAATCATTATTTGTATCTTCATAAAAAATCAGAAATTTTGCAATTTTTTTCGTAACTAAAAATACGCGTATCAAGAAGGGGGGTTCAAAAAAATTGATCACGTGATTAATGGACGCGCCCTAGGAAAAAGCCTCCAACTATGCGTTGCCTCCAAATGTGGCTCGATTAAATAATTTTATACAATCTAATTCTTCATTTTTATATGATGATAAAAGATGATTTTTAATTTTATGCGGAAAAGGGTATAACACTTGGAAACATATTTCCTGTCATTAGTGCTGTCTGAGGTGGGTGTCAACCATGAAACCTTGTGGTTGGAAAGCCAAAACTCTAACCAATAACCCACTAGAAAGCCGAATAATACAAATTAATTTAGAAAAAAAAACATAGTTGTCCTGCAATTGAACAATAGCATAGTTGCTCATTAAATGAAGGTACTACATAATAGCATCGTAAAATAAAAGTATATGAAAAAAACCATAAGCTTATTGATAATTTGTTAAATTAAATAATTTTAAAATTGCTATGAATTAGTTATTGAATTTCTATTTCGATAAATAGATTGAATGAATCATTAAAATTTTCAATTATTCATTTTTTAAATTACCGTTATCAGACACATTTAACGGTTAATCATTTTTTTCGCGTACTTGACCTTCAATAAATAATTTTAACGTGTATCATCTAATATGCGGAATAATATGTTTTTTAGTCATACATTACATAAATGCTTCTAAATACTTTAAATCATCATAATGTTTAATTTTGGCTGCTGCATGCGCCGTTATTTGTTAGTTCTCTTCCACACTACATAAAAAATTATTTTATCTAAAACTGGAAAAAA